ATGGTGGTGGTGATGATGATGATGGTGATGTTGGTAGTGGTAAAGATAATGGTAGTGGTGATGGTGATAATGATGGTGTTGGTTGTAACAATGATGGTAATATCTTATTTTCATCTCATTACCTTAGGAAAGCGGTTTTGCTAGGCAGACAGAGGAATGGGAAACCCAGAGTGAGGCAGGAATAGCAGCTGTGCGTGAAGAAGCAGACATGCTCAACAACACTCTCCGCGAGCTGGTGACTGTAGTCAAACACGATGCAGAATCCACAGCCCGCTTGCTTGGATCTCCTGGACCTGATATCGAGGATCTGACAGAAAGCATGATTGAAGAAGAAGACGCYGGAGTCCGACGATCTGTGTCACCTTCTCGGGGATCACGCTTGCGTTCTGTTTCACCAACTCGGGCACGATCACCCGCCATGTCAGACAATGTTCTTGCTACCGTGCAGTCATGCATCCATAAACGCAACCTTCAAGTCCAGGTAAGATCTTTGTTTCCAATCCTAGCTTGTCATTGTCATCACCATCATTATCATCATCACCATCACCATCCATCACTATCACCATCATTATCACCATCATTATCACCATCACCATCCATCACTATCACCATCATTATCACCATCATCATCATCACCATCACTATCACCATCATTATCATCATCACCATCACACCATCATCACCATTACTATCACCATCACCATCATCATCACCATCATTATCACCATCATCATCACCATCATTGTCATCATCATCACACCATCATCACCATTACCAACACCATCATCACCATAGGCGATTGCATTACCACTATGCCATCCTCAATTCCTTGACTTCATGGTAAAGTGAGTAAGGTCTTGTTTTTACTTATCATTTTTTTGGTATGTTTTAATCAGGAACTCAAGTCACGAGCAGAAGCTGCACGTGAGGCTGCAACTGCTTCCAAGAAACAACTGGACGACAGTGAAAATGAACGAAAAAGACTCGAGAAGGCGCTTACATCTGCAAGAGATGAAGTGGATGCAGTGTAAGTAGATAAAGATAGGCGTAATTGTAAATTTGAGGACATGAGCAAGGGTAGGGGAAGAATATTCCATTCTTAAGGTATGGGAGGGTTACATCAATTTGAGCACATGACCAAGGGTAGGGATAGAATATTCCATTCTTAAGGTATGGGAGGTTTAAATCAATTGAAGCACATGACCAAGGGTAGGGGTAGAATATTCCATTCTTAAGGTATGGGATGGGTACATCAATTGGAACACATGACTCAAGGGTTAGGGGAAGAATATTCCCTGCTTAAGGTATGTGAGGGTACATCAATTGGAACACATGACTCAAGGGTTAGGGGTAGAATATTCCCTGCTTAAGGTATG